AACTCGTTTATCGTCAGCCGCGCCTGTTATAAAAAGTATATAAATTACTTTCCACATCACAGAAAGCTTATTCATCCGTTTCGTTCCGTGTACCGGGCGCGTACCGGGGGCGGGGGCTGGGCGTCGGCGAAGGGGTTGGGCGCGGGAGGCTCGGCGACGGGCTGCAGAAGTCGCTCCAGGTTCACCAGCGAGGAATTCTCGCCGAGGAAGGCCGACGGCGATTTCTTCACGCTAGACGTCTGCGCTCCGGTCAGGTTGTCGCCTGTGGACACGCAAACGCATACGTCAGCCCGGTCCTTGACATCACGTGACAGGTGGCGCCGCGAGGATCGGGGCGGAGTACACACCGAGCAGCGACAGGTCGAAGGGGTCGTTGTCTAGCGGGGGCGCGGCGGCGCGCGGCCGCTGCGACAGCGCGTCGAACTGCTGCAGGTCGGCGGAGCTGGGCGACGACAGCACCGACACCGGGGACACGGCCGCGCCCACGCCCACGCCTGCACCCATACTCGCGCCCATGCCCGGCACCATCGGCATCGACTTGCTCTGCAAATATATATATTGCACAATTTGTTGCGCCTACGAGATAGATAGTAGAGTGGTATGTGTGTAGATATGCGACCTGCTGCACGGGCGCCGGCGCCCAGGGGTCTGCGGGCGGGGGCTGCGGGGGCCACGCGTCGCGCGCCGGGCTGCCCACCGCACCGACCGACCACGCGTCCGGCGACGTGTCCTGCATCATACATACATACATACATACATACATACATACATACATACATACATACACTATTCACATAACACCACAACAATAACTAGCGTGCCTTACGTCACACATTTCTCATGAAAATAGCTAGAATATTAACTAAGTTAAGATGATAAATACTCATTTGTAAAACTAAATAACAATGAGATGATCGTGTAGCACGACGTGACAAACTTGATCTTACCATTGAGTCAGAGAATATACTGACGTCCAAATTCATTGACTTCAACGTAGCCGAGTGCAAAATAATACATTGTTTATTATAATTAACACAAATTAAATAACAAAAATATATTAAAAAAGTGTTATTAAATATTCTCGTAATAGACATCAACCGGTTACTTATAGTGGTCATAGTTGTAGTGTGATTGAGTATTGTCACCTGTGTGTTATGCTGCGGCGAGGGCAGGCCCCAGGGGTCGAGGGGCGCTCCGTGTGTTGGGTGCGCGGGGGCGGCGCTGGGGCTCAAGTTCACGTCCAGCAGGTCCAGCAGGTGCGACTGCTGCGTCTCCGGCTTCTTCTCCACCGTCTGACCCCTAAATTCTTTCAATAATTAATTAACTCAACAACAAACTTTATGTCATTGTAACCGCCAATACTCTAAATAAGAAAGTTAATATTTTTTGTCAGAGGAAAGTCTGTCTTATTAAGCACAATAAATGCGTGTGACTTCCTACTGTGAGCTACAATGATATGTATACAATGTGAAGTTTACCGCAGAGTGTGCGGCACACAGTCGACGCAACCAAAGAACCAGCAGTAGGGCGCGAGGGGTGCGAGGGATGCGAGGGGCGGAGCCAACAGCGCGTACGGCTCCGCGTACAGCTGCACGTACTCTTGTAGTCTGGGTGGAGGCAGGATACGGATTATGGGTACGAGTCAGGATTAAGGAATAAGGATTTTGGTGTGGTTTGTGCACATAAGGATTAAGCAACAAAATGGGTATGGGGAAATGGGGAGACGAGTAGACGTAATTATATACCGTGTAATAAGATAGTGTTAGGAGGCTGTAAGCTTGTTCGGCCTTTGTGAATATGTACGTTATGTGTGCAGGTGAAGTGGACAGGTAGAGGTCATACTGACTGCAGGTCGTGCTGCGACTGGCTGATGGCGAGCTGCAGCCGCACGTCGTCGGAGCGCCGGCGCCGCTCCTCGCGCTCGGCCTCCTCGCGAGACATGGCGAGCGCCAGCTGCAGCTGCAGCTCCTCCTCGCCCGCGGTCAGCGGCCGGGCCAGCTCCGCGTCGCGCCCGCCGCCCCCGCCGCTCCCGCCTCCGCTCACGCCGCTCCCGTTGCTGCCCCACTCCACGGGAGAGCTGTTCAGCTGCAATACAGTATTGACCGACATGAGTTTTGGCGAACTATTTATTTTCTCTTCAGGGAGCCTAATTATGCCGTATGTTTTAACAATAACAAGCATTATGTAGTAAGGGTAGAAGTAGACATGTAGGTGGAGGAGCTGACCGGGGGGTAGGTGGGGCTGGCGGGCGAGTCTAGCGCGGCGTCGCTGCCGAGTGCGCTGCCCTGCGCGAACCGCTGCTTGGCTTTGAGCGCCCGCGCCCGCTCGTTCTTCAGCCGCTCCTCGTCCTTCAGCAGGTTCACCAGCTGCTTCGCCTTCTCGCGCACATTCAGACCTGCACGTTAACACTATATCTCTCATACTCATGTCAATATCGTAGCCCCAATTTTGTAGGTAAAAACCTATGCTAAACATTATAAATTTGCACCTATTCAATATATAATTTGAAAGTGTAATGATTTCTTAATTTTGTTATGAAATGTTAAAAGGTTGCGTGTTCCAATGTACTGCATGTATCATAATTATCAAAGCACGCAAAGGTCTTTATTATAATATCAAATGCACAATTTAAGTTATTAAAATCTGTAAGTCACGGTTGTTAACTTATTTTTTACTTGAACTTGACCAATCAGCCAGCCGATGACTCAGTAACTCTGAATGCTTCATCGTGCGGAACATGGAGCAAGGTCGATGCCTCGGTTGTGCTCAATTTTAACATTAATATTTGCTATTTTAATATAATTGCTAATTTTTTCAAAAATCGTTACATACAATAAAAGTGTAATTTATTTCGGTATAATATTTTGATAAGGTTAACCGAGTATTTAATACATTTGTCATTTCAAAACAAAATGATATTACAACACCGAAAAATGTGTAGAAAAAAACTAAATTAGTAAGCAATTTTTTGTACATGGCAACAATTAACAATTCCAGTCGCGATTGTGTGAACAGCCTGCCTGTATGTGTAAGTGCTAATCGTCGCCTTGTAACAATTATAGCGGTTGCCAAGGCAACGAGCAACGCCCACAATATAGTATAGTGTTACATCTCTGATATGAAATTCATAAATTATGTTTCGTTTTAATTAGGCTGTATCGAGTTAAATAGCTTCCAAAATATTGTAGCCGTGGAATAGTATTTACTTAATTGAATTCATAGCTATCTGCATTAAAATTAAATTTCGACTACTGTTCATTTCAGTCTTCAAGAGCTTACCTTGGTCTTTCCCCTCCTCCATGTACTGGAAATCTTTAAGCGTATGAATAGCGAATATGTTCTCCTTGCATTGCATGGCGACCTTCTCGCTGCCCGTCTTTATCAGGTACTCCATGAGGACGAGCGCCTTGTAGACGTGCCGCCAATTCTTGCCATGGTCGTTGAGCCGCTTCCAGATCATCTGCATGATCTCCGTGAAGGCCATCACGTTGTACGTGAGGTCTGCGATCTCGGCCATGAGCGTACTCGACGGACCCCATGGGTCGTTCGAGGTAGCTTCGCGCACTTTAACCTGAAACACACAATAACATTAATAAATCTTTTATCCTTTAATTTATGACCAACTTGTTCACGTTTATTCCCCGTTCATGTTTATTGATAATTTTTTACAATATCAAAAGTCATTCTGTCTGTAATTACTGTTACTAACCGTGGGTTTCTAAGACCAAAGACTCCGTTAAAAACATATCATCACCCCTGGTTTGTCAAAGATAGAAACAGTGATGACGATGTTTTAAACGATGATTTTGATCTCAGAAACCCGCGATAACATGCTAAATAATAAAGTAAATATGTATGAGTTATCTATAATTGTTTGCTAACATATATGTATTATAGACAGTGGTGACGATGATATGTATCTTTGGTTTAATGTAAAAATACATTATGTACGTAACATTTGATAACGCTGTTACTATTTGAAAAACCGCAAAACTAGAGGATATCAGATACTATTAATGTACAGTTTGCATTGAGATGACGTCAGTCATTAACACAATTGTATATTCATACGAGGACAGTTATATTTATAAGTTAAGCTATTAGCCTTGATGTTATTGATGGCAACATTAAATTTACTTATATTTTACAATATGGTCCCTTATGTTTGGTGCCAAGTAACATGACACGTCATCAATTAAAAGATAAACAATAACAGTGAGCTATCGGGTGACATGTCCCCGTGATACGCGCGGTGTCGCAGCGGAAACGACGCGGCAAGGAAGCGACACGACCGCCAGTAATTAGGGCGCGCACACACGATCGCCGAAGCGGAATGCGCGACGCAAGGTCAATGCCTCTTAACGGCTCGCCTTCTACCACCAGTTTGTTTTATAACTGTACACTTTATATAAAAACAAATAATATTAAAAAATGGCAAATGAAGGAAATTATCCAATAAATATATTTTTATGTATTGGTCACAAATATTACAAAATAGCGTTTTGAACTTTAGTTGTTTATCAACGATTAAGACAGTATTGAAGTTAACTTACAACATCACGTAATTTTATGAACCCTGTTTCAAGGGAGGAAGATTTCTATTTAGGACATTTAAGACGATTCCCAGGTACGTGTGTACCGCGCTTTACGCGGAAGTAACTCATCGGCATTGGTATGAACGTGTAGTGCCTTATAACTACCAAAGTCAATTTTTTTAAAATACAATGTGTAAAAAGCAATTATAAAAATAATTTTCATTCATTCGGTGGTGTTTTAATTTTATACTTTTAAAACTCATGATTTATAAAAAGATTTTGTCTACTTAACGTTATCTCTCTGCGCAAAGGTCAGGAAGCTTTGTTCAAATATCACATGGAGGAAAAAATTGTTATTTATTTTTCCTACAAATAACCTTACTACAGCTAATTATAAAGTAAAACACGTTACTTGGTTGCAGATTCCAAGTTCGATTGAAAAATAAGGAAGTAGTTGGGTTCAAGGAGATTGGGACGGAAACATTGACCACTGTCAGGAGAAAAATCAAATAATATAGGAAATATGAATCTACTTTATTCTATTTTGTACCCTACTCTGGTATTATTTACTTACCAATAAATACAATTGGAAAATGCATTTTTTATTCTGAAGCTGAAAAAAAAAACTATAAGTTGCGATATTTTGCACATGCGATTGGTGCTATGCTTATAATAAAAAGGTTTGTATTGTTACCTGGGCATCAGAGTAGTTGTGCGCAAGATTTTTAATATTCCTCCTTAGGCCCGCCACGTTTACTTGCATGTCGTCCCGGCTGCGGGGCATCTGGAACAAATACAACATTCAATTCATTACTTAATCAGTCTTATCAGCTTATGTATCCTAAATTCGTTATTATAATAGTAAACTCTACAGGACACCAAGTGCACCAAATATAGGGTGCCATCTACCATAATGATAGCAATGCATCATTGAATGCACAGTCAAAGATGTTAATTTCCTACCCATTTCGATGAAAAGTAATTTGACGTTCAGAATGCAATTATGTTGAAAACTTTTAGCAACATCCATAACAGTATGGAGTAGGATATTAAACCTTCGTCTATGCTACAGCAACTTTTTGGTGTCATCTTAATAACAAATAATAACAGACTGTACATAATGAAACAGATTAGTTATTTAGTTACTACTATATATTTTATGTACCTAAGCTATAAACAAACTGGCGCTTTAGCAAGATTAACATAGTTGAGGTTCGTCGCTGGTCGTTGTGTCTTTTATGCGTAGATAAAGAAGCGTCTGTATCAAAATTTGAACAAAGGAGCATTGGCCTGACACTGGCTTATTGTTTTGAATGTCGCACGATAACAATGAACATTTTTTTAGTACAACGCCATCGAGATATACAATATCTTATCATATCTTCAATTCGGTACGAGATTATAATATTTGTTATATGCAATAAAACTATTTTAATAAGAATTCATCATATTCTTCTAGAATTTTCTAAGACTGTAAATAAATCTAATCTGTTACTCCTGTTACAATGTTAGTTACCACTCCTGCGTTATAGCTTGACTGATTTTTATCAAATTTTATATGCATATTCAGTAGGTTTGATAAACGGCTACTATCTATTATTTAAACTCTCGCGGACCAAGTCGCGGGCGACGCTAGTATTTTTCTAAAAGAGTATTCGTGGCGTTAAGCAACAATACTACTTTCTGAAATCCATAATAGGTATCGGACTTTAATTAATGGTTTGTTCACAGATCAAACGAGCAGTTTTCACATATTCATTTCTATTCAAAATCCATCTAATTTGCCAATCATGCAACTTGTCTGTATGTAAACAATAAAACATGAATGACCGCTATGCAAGAATCAGTATAATTTTAGTTTTACATACGTAGATTCGCAGCGAACATTTGGCTCGTTCATTTCGCAAACATCACGTGCCAAATTCCTAACCGTTGTTAAACAAATAATAAGTATTAAACGAAAGGCTTTAAATATAAATACAGTTGATGAGAAAATAAAATACTTAAATTGATGTACAAAATTAAACATTAAAAAAAATAGTTGGTAAGCAATTTTCCTTACAGGCAAATTTTGTAACACTGAGGAAATTGACCTCAAAAATTGCCACTTTTGTGGTTCCGATTAGGTATCGTTAGGTATATATATATACGAATGTGGCGTTTAAAAATCATAGAAACCAACATCCACAACAGCCTAAACCAACGCAACAAAAACAAATCTATAAAACCCTACCAGACCGACAGTCATACCGCACAACCCCAAGTGGGCCATTAACTTCCCAACTCACAACCCTAACTGTGTCCCCGGCGGCAGCCCTACGTCACCTACGTCACTATTTATGTTTCGCGGGACGTAAACAAAGCGACGACGCGTCGCTAGTTATTTTCGCAAGTGCTGTTGACCCTGCCCCCGCGCGCCCAATAAACACTAACCGTGTAAGGACTGGAGCGGGGAGAGGGGGTACACCATCTTTCATATTGACAACTGTAATCCTAAAAAACCTCCACTTAATTTCCAAGCAAACTAAAAAATGCAAGTAATTTTATACATCCTAAGAATTTAAATAGATTACATTTAAACATGTTAACCGCACTTCAACATTATCTGTTGTTGACATAAAATATTGTTAGTGTAAGAAAGCGAACGTGCAAGTTTTTTTGTCGTTTTTTCTAAACGTGTGAATTCAGACCATCGTACGTTATTATTTACGCCCTGTAAAGTCACATCAAGGGACAGTATACAGAGCAATGTCAACCGAAATAGCTTTATAAGATTATACTGTGTTTACATAAAGGAAACTTTACAAGTGTACCGTGTGACCCTCGCGCACCGCGTACGATCCAATTAACAGATGGGAGAGTGAAAATGGGGGAGAAATGGGTTCCCCCCAGTAGTCTAACATATGGTCATAACTGGGTACTTACCCTAAATTTAGCTAATATTTTATGCATGTCTCTTCTCAATGTCCTTATCCTACTTTACTTGGGACAGGTGCACCAATCTATAGTTAGCATTTCTATGAATTATTTTTATTTTATTTTATGAGAAAAGAATTATATATATTATCAAATATTTCATAATAGAATATTAAAGCGCGAGGGAGCTCTCTTATAGTTTTATTATGAACATACCTGTGTCAGTTTCATTCAACTGGCATTCCATTGTCTTTCAAAAGAAAATACAACAAACCTTTTGTTTTATTATCAAAATTACCCACCTAAAATTTGATTGTGATTTTTAATTATTAGCCTAATAATAAAGGTTAAGCATTAATGGTGTAGATTCTAGTTTCTGGTAGGCTTAAGGTTGCGTAGATTTTTTTTTCATCTATCCAATAATATTTATAATGATCTTAAAAAAAGCGCTAACTCAATGTTACTAGCAAGATAGTTTTACAAACACATCTTCCGAATGAACTATTTTTCTGCGAAAATAACTAAAGAAATCAGAACTTTAACCAAATTTCTATACCAACTAAGATAAAAAATTATGTAGTTAAAATATATAATTAATAACCAGATATAACGACCTTGAGCACACAAATACACTGTACGATACACTGAGAACCAACAATTAACCCTTAATATGATACTCACAAAATATATAATACTCGGATCAACTTGTTAAATTTTACTACAAAAACTAGTGCACAATAAATGTGCACACACAGAAGCACGTCCAAGTTGTTTTGCATTCAACAAATGTTTAGTGTTTACACAATGAGGTCACTTTCACACTGGGCACACCGGTCTGTGATAAGCTATCACTGCGTCAGTGCGACACGTGCGACGTCGCGGCGCGCGCGTCTCTCGTGTGGGCACGCCACTGCATATCACCGCTGACCACAGACGACTGCATGAGAACGCATGCGGACGGTTGGGGCGACCACGCAAAGGGTTGCGACTAGCTGCTTACACATCTTACGGATCATTTACTAGCAAAAAAACTTTTTTAAACACTAGCAGACAACTTTCCTTAGCTCTATAAGTGGTGGGCAAAGTGTGAGGCTTATTCGTGTTCGTTGCCCTGTCTCTATTTGTGTCACAATTTAGGGCCAGATGCCTCAATGATAATATTGAAGTGACAAAAAGTAAAGATTCAACGAATTTATTTTGAAACATCACTTCAACTGTAACTTAGAAATAATGTAATAGCGATAAATGTGTTCGGAGCCTAATCCGGCGAGGGCTGGTTGAGTAACATAGTGGGAGGAAGCGGCACAACGGCCGGCAGACGAAGACGCGACGCACAGCGCTCGCACTACGCACGCACAACGTGATTCCTTTCAACATGGACAGTTTCCTTATAATAAACGCTTCTGAATGTAGTAAACGTATTATACCTATTGTTGACCTCGCATTTTTATTTTCTTTAGATGCTTACAAATAACACGATGATTTACGTGAAGAAGAATAAAAACAGGTGATTCAAACGTAGGTATGACATAGCCTTTAGAACCAGTTATGGAAAACATTCAACTAATACCGTTATCTGTTTCTTACAAAGGGAATGACAAGGAATATATGTTTTTTTATATTTATATAAGTGTTTCGGCGATGTAAACTTCCGATACAGTGCACTCTAGAATTGGGGACTTCCCACATATTTTATGATTTATAGTGTGACGCATAAAACGCGTGGAGTCATACACGGAATCATTAGTTCAGCAGTTTTAAAGTGGATCGATAAATATTTCTCATCATAATAATCTGCATTGCAGAACCGCTCTCCCATACTTAAAAAAAATCTAGACAATGTGAAATAACTCATCTTAAGTTACAGTTGTATATAGATGAGCAGGTACACAGATATAACTGGTAGCTTTTTAGTGAATACGTTACGTAATGTGAAATATACGAGTAAATAAAACAAAAAAATACGCGTCTGTGCACTTCTTTGGTTTGCTAATCGCTTTACCCGCGCGGATATTCCGATTTGCAGTGACGTAATCCGCTCATACGTGCCTGATGTAAGGTTAGCCTGGCATTTGTTTACATAGACGTATTTATAGCTTTACTCATATTTATCTTAGATGAGCAAAAACTAGAATTCATGTTGCTAAATTCGTAGATCCATCTTAGCAACTAGATCGATGACATATGTACTAAAGATCATTGAAAGTTTATAACGGAGTACATATATTTATGCATTCTTATACTTATTATATAAGACCTTTAGTGGTGGATTAGAAGTAGTAGGAGACCTTAGTGCGGGGTGACTTAAGACAAAGTAGTAGGTAATTGTATTAATTACTTTGATACCTAACTAGTGATAAAATAGTTGAAAATGGAATAATCTTTTACGCTTTTACAATTTAACTTTGGATCCACGACTCCATATAGTTCGTATCACTACAGCTAAGTGGTATTGGAACATAAAAGTAATGCCTAAAGGTCTATCTAACTGTAAATGATCTGTTGCATTGCGCACGGCTGGTGAGTTGTGTTCTGTGCTTTAGCGCGCATGCAGCAGAGGTGGGATACACATTTGTACTGTTACTGTACTTCTTACATAATAGGTGTGCTGAATCGGACCGGTGAGCGAGACGTGCATTGAACCCACCACCACTAATCATAGTAACATCCATGGATACTTCACTTTTCACAGAATAGTGAGATGACAAGCTTCTATTGAAGATAACTCACATCCCTCTGCAGAAAGGAAAAGCAATTGACTGAACTGACTGGATGGAATTAAGAGTTAAACCCTAGAATACAGTCTTGTTAGAGTTATATCCCATACGAGCATATTACGAATGAAATTTGCACGTGTTTTATGACGATTTCGCTAATCCGTCATCAAAGTGTCGCTCCGGTCGCGAGAGCGTTCGTCGCTCCGGCAACGAGATCGTTGAACCTCTCTATTGGAGCACGTCCGCCCCGGTCACAGACGACAACTAACTCCCTCACTATCTAAATTGCAACCAAAATCAGCTTCAAACATGTCAGTGTATATACAAAGAATTGAATTAGCTTTCCACTTAGGATCGAATATCTTACAATAGTCACTTTTTTCAACCTATCTTGAACGTCAAATGAAATTTCATCGAAATGAAGTTCCCTGACTGTTTCATGTAACAAAATGTTCACATGGTGGCAACAGCGAGGCTATACAAAGTGCATTCGCTTCGAAGCGATTCCATAGCGAACTTCAAACTTGTCTGGAGATGACGCGCGACAATCACGTGATTTATCGAAAGTTATTGTCAGTTCTAGGTATACATTTTAAAAGTTCGTTATGGAATCGCTTTGTAGCGAATGCACTTTGTCTAACCCACCTGGTCATAATTAAATTCAAACTGCCGTCGGTGGATCGAAGATGCCTATCTACTATTTTTATTTGCATGACAAATATTTCATATTTATTTTTAACAGGTTAATCAACGTAAACTCTTCATATTTACAAAAACAATAAATATACATGTCACTTCATCCTATCTCTCGTCTATAACAATTGTTATATCGAATAATCACGATATTATACTCGCAAAATTATGATAAACACAAACGATACGGTCCTCCACATGACTATGAGTCACTTAGTGATAAGAGGTAGCGGAAATGAGAGTGCGCGATTCACATGAACGTTGGTCAATGGAATGTGAAAATTGAGCTCGCGCTCACCTGATATGTGGACACACAAACAGTCAAAATTCTGAGAAAACAGCCAAGATCCTGTTGCATTATTTTACGTTCACTATTCACGTTATATAGACCATTTTTTTTCTTTTTTTTTTGGTGTTGTGAAGCTTGAGGTCAAAGTTTTTTATTCTTAAAATATTGACTGGTCAGTAATTGCTGTACTGTTTACATATCAGGTAAACAAATGATAATTGATTGGACTGTTTGATATACGTTATTTTGTGTATATTCCAGTGTTGTAAAAAAAACAACTGTCAACAAAAAATCGAGTCCTAGACCATTATCCAACTACAATTACATAGCCACTTTGTCGTAAAGGTCACTGTAACTATAAATAAAATACCGTGCGACCTAAAATCGATAATTAGCATCGTAGTCAAGGCCTATGGAATGGTAAACAAGCCATTAACTAGCATAATAAATAGCTTTGTACTAATCAGAAAGAAGAAAGATTTGCCTGAATAAAAACTTGTGGCAGAATTACTACGTTCAAGGATGCTTTAACATTGTGAAGCGCAGAAAAATAATATCCATGATACTCTAAACAATGTAACAAAGAATTGTTGAGTATCAATTTTATAAATAAAGTGAATAAAACATATTAAAAATGAGGATGTAAATACCATTACCATTTTTTAACAGCTAACCCAAGGAAATCATATCTAGAGACACTTATTATACATTATTTGTCTGAGTAAATTGATATCAACCAATGTTTTCTACATTCACATCACTATCACATACTGTCACTAATAATACTGCACCAAAATAAATTTGTAACTTTTAATTGGCTTATCGTAGATCATTGACCAACTAAATGGATGTAACTTAAGCCACACACATATCCAATAACTTAAGTGTTCATTAGTAAAATAAAGGCCCATTTTTTAGTCTCACCCCCTTAACCCCTAATAGACAATCAGATCCAGATAATATATGCCTAATATCTAAAAATATAATATGTAGTATGCAAAAACAAATCTAATGTACATTTGTGGTATTGTACGGCAATAGACATACAAACATACAAGTCATTCCACATCTAAATGGCTATCGAAACTCATTCACAATATAATATTGTCTTTCTCTCTCTCTCTTGGAGTGCCTCTCCGTTTAATGGAGGTTGGCCATCAGCTCTGTAAACTTTTGCTGATCTTATGGCAATATATTACATTAAAAATTAATAGTTTTTGATGAAGATTAGGAGATATGGTGCCTCATAAAGCTAGTCACCGATACCCGACAATCACAACAAGATTGCAGCGGTGAAAGAGAAAGCTAAAAACAATATTCACATTCTAGATACCAGCTGTTAATCCACTCTTCAATGTATGGTATGGCTTTGACAGAAAATTATATTGGGAGGCACACGGCAACTTGAGTATGCAAAGTATTTGTAATGAACATCTACATGAGCAATTGACAAACTACACAAACAAGACATTTTATTACATACACCCAGGTGTCCCAACCCAGGGATCCCTGGATCTTTCTAAATACTACCTTGAATAATTTCACAAATAAAATAGATATGTATGGACACATAGTATATAGAATCATACATTCCTTATTTGTACTATATAGGTGATATATCAATGAAGTATAATGTCTATACTCTTTAAACAAGTATTCTTAGATTTTGAGAGAATTTTAATTAGGTTACACTATAATATTTTTTATGACTGTTTCATAGGTCTCTTTTACTGTGCAAATAATGGAAAATTTAAGAAGAATTAGAGACCTTTGTGTTGTAAAATTTCAATAGTAAAAATTATTAAGACTACACATTAGAAATTTTATCAGATGAAAAGTTATGACATTTCTTAAAATATGTTTTATATTTTTGGTAAGTGTTGTGTACGGTAAGTGTAGAAAAGTATTAAAAATACTCACAAAATATTTTTTTTACGATGAGAAATAAACAGTCGGTGAAGAATAAACTTTTGACACTTCAATAAGGGAACACACTTATACACCTATCAGGTCCGTATCAAAAATGCTGATAACATTTATCATTATCATACACATTAGCACAAAGACTTTTCTACTTTAACGCCACTGACGTCACAAAACAACAAAACACACAAACAAGTAACAAACACTTTTATATTTGAACTTGAAAAGATACTTCACACCAAAAGTTTAAAGTTCGAAAACAAACTTGAATTTAATATACCAAAAGCAAGGTTTTGACTGGGAAATGTAAGCCTTCACTAAAACACAGTTAACAAAATTGTGTCGTGGCCGATTAGATGAATAAAAAGATAATGACGAGGACAAATTGATGCAACATCGTAAACTTACCAAAGAGTTGCTGATCGGCTAGTGCTACTTAAATTTACTTTTTCTTTATTCGATTCGTCAGCGTAAGAAAGTATTACACATTGTAATATAACCACTTATCACAACACGATATCACCCGATTTACTATTTAATTTTGTACAAATTCTATCTAAACAAAACACTTTTTGACGAATTGACAGAGTCGTCTCAGTCATGACAAATCAACATGTCCTCCAATTCCAACTCTACATCCGGTCATGAATGGTATTAAAATATTGTGAGTTAAATACTATCAACTTAGGAACCAGCTCCTCAAAATTGTACAATTCTATTTAAACTTAAAATAAAATAATAATGAAATGTAAAAGTGAAGAAAATTTTTAAAAATGAAATTGATATGTCATTGCTTAAAAAAATGTTTTGAAGTTTAATTAAATTGTAAATTTATTTTAAGAACATTTCAAAACAATTACTTAAGTGTAATAACACTAAACTATTTATTACAAATTGTTTGTTTTAAATAAATTGTGATAATTTATTTGGGGCAACGAAACATAATCAGGAATGCTATTTTATATACTCTTTGAACGCTATCAAAGAGTAAATAAAATGAACGCTATGTATCAAATGTTACTAGCAATAATTTAATTATTGTACCACTAATTAATCGTAACAAAAATAAATAATGATTAACTAGAATTAGAAATAAAAAAAAATTATAAAATGTTACCCTATTCTTAATGAGTTCATTTTAGAAGAGATTATTATTATCTTTCGGCTTATTTAAATAAAAAATAACTATTTCCGTATTATAGCATGGCAATAAGAAAACCAACGTCATGTTATTTCTAATAAAAAGCTTATTTAATTCTGTAAACGGTTATTGCTCGCTTTTGAAAAGTTTATTGTAATATTTGTAAATCAAAACGATAAAATGAATATTTCAGGTTTTTCATCAAATGGCGTGATGGAAAAGCATTTAAAACGTAGTGATAGAGCAAAAACTTTTGTAAGCATTGAACGCTTCCAACTTAGCAAACATTAAGGTTATGTATGTTTTCTATATTATAATGTTTTACAGGTTTTACCGAACAAATGTTTTGAAAAGCACGTCGCGTGTGCATGGAGGCGAGGAAATTCTTTTACAGTTTATCCACGAAGTCAAACAGTTAGTAAAAACCAAGGCAATATAAGTGACAACAAAATCTTGAAAGTGCGACAAGAAATTCTTCTTTTTATTCCTATACTAAGGAAGCTTATAAATGACTCAAATGGCGTATTTCTTTCTTTGCAAAAAGTTGCGGAGAACACAAATTCGGACAATCAGGTGGAATTTTGGAAACTTTCCCGCCAATATAGATCCATCGTGAGGTCCATCATAGAAAATTTACAAGAAGCCGCTGAGGAAGAGTCAGACGCTTTGGCTAAGAACAGTTTAAATTCGTACGCAACAATTTTTTACTCAATTGAATGTATATGGCATCTATGCGAGATATTGTTTATAAAAAACATTCCTGGTGATGTGGTTTTACCATTTTTGTTAGAATGGGTTTGTTGTCACTTTCCAAGCCATGACCAGACCGCAGCACAGTTGCTGGAGGCAAGAGAGAGAGGTTCCGAAGATCACCCAGAGTATTGGGATACTGTTGTTAGTTTGATAATTCAGGGGAGAATTGATGATGCCAGAGATCTTTTACGACTCCATTCTGCCTCTGAATCAGCTGAATTCAAGCTTGTTGCGAATTCTCTACGCACTATGCCTGTCTATAATGTAAGTCTGAGTTATACCATAATCTTCATACCAACAAATAGGAGTAATTTAATTTGCTTATTAGTTGAATTTACTTATTATTTGGTAAAATAAATAAATTTAAACATAATTTTGTTTCAATAAAGTATATTTATTTAAGTTTTTTTTTTATATATTTGCAGATATATGGTGGTATATCTAGTGGGGAGTTCACAATAGTGTGGAAGCACTGGCAGGCAGAGTGTAGAGCCATTCTGAACAGTCAGTCTTTAAGCTCACTTCCATACTTGCAACTTATTATGAGAGTAAGTACCAATGTTCAGTGTTTACATATCAATTTTATTTATATCACTAGGTCAAACCATTAAAACATGTATATCTTTTATACCAGTTACTGATTGGGGACTACACAGCATTTGAGTCAATTTGTTCCAAATACCCATCCTGGTTCTACCTACTGGGCGGTTATGTGTTGTTCACACGGCCATGGGCACGACGACGCGAGCTGGCGGACGCGGCGGCGGCCTGCGCGGGTCTCGGCGCAGCGCACGCACACTCGCACCTTAACACTGTCATACGCGCATTGCTTGAAGGTGACCTGCATCAGGTATGTTGCAATAGATACACATTAACACTATCACCAGGATCTATGTAATGTCCATTTCAGATGACTTAAAATACTTGCTGCTGTAAGCCCTAAAAGCCTTCAGACTTGGCTCTAACCAATTTTGTAACATAGCATGTCTGTGTCTTATACTTAATTCAACACAAACCAAAGGAGGGTTTAGGGTTCCCACTTGAATATTTTTTTAAAGTTTTATATTTTAAATTGCAGATGATTTATGAAATACAACAAATGTCTGATAATGGCTGGTTTGCTACACATCTCACTGATATGCTGTACCATTGCGGGAAGTTGCAAGTGTTGGATGAACACCAGACTGAGTAAGTTCACGAAATATGGTTATATAGTCTTTACCATTAAAGTAAACAAGTAAGAGTAAACAAGACATGTAGATAGTATTTTTTTATCTCCGGGTCATAATTTTCTTTTTATGATTGGTAATATATGTTTACAGTATGACGAAGCGGCTCCGGGATAGCCTAGTGCTGGAGTACGGGTCGTTGGTGATGGAGCACGGGGCACTGTGGTGCACGGGCTTGTCGTACCTGGCCGCTTGTCCGCCTGAGGGCCCACGCCGCGCTGAGCTTCTGCTCGAGCGGCTGCCCCTCGACAGCGAGGAGAAGGCGATGCGAATCATCGCTGAAGCAAAGAAATACGACCTCCTCGGTGTTGGTAAGTTCTTATTTGTGGCCTTTTGTCTATATTATTGAAGGATCTCATCTCAGTAGATTTATTTTTAAAAAAAATTTATACGGAAAGAGTAGAAAGAAGTGGATTTGATGGACATGTGGAGGGGAAATGCCCTTCTGTGTGCCTCTTTCTCGTCGATTAAAGGTAGGCAACGCATCTGCAATTGTGGATGCTTATATAATATAAAAAGAATAATAAACCACGATATTGTATTAATTTTGTATTTTGTCTTTATGGATAATGAAATTGGAGTATGGAGCCACAAGTGTTGATGTGGTGTTATGTGTGTGCAGTACAGACGGTGTGCGCGTGCATGAGTGCGCGGGGGCGGGGCGCGGGGCGGGTGGGTGCGGCGCTGGCGTGGGCGGGGCGAGCGCGCGGGGCGGGGCTGTGCGCGGGGGCGGCGCACGCGGCACTACGCGAGTACTGTGCAGGCGCGCCGCTGCCTGCCGCCGACATGCTGCTAAGCGCCGGCTCCACGCTGCTCATGGACGACACCCTACTGTTGCTAGGTAATTCGATAAATTCCTTACTAAAGACTCCTGCCTAATATTAACCATGTTCATATATTAGAATACTTCCTGGCATACTCAAAATTGTCTAATATGTATCAGTTTGTCTCTAGTATGAGAAATCTACACTAAAGAGTTGTTTAAGTAATCACTTAACAAATGACTTTATTTCAATGTTATACATAATCAAAGTTTTTATTACAGATGTAGTTATTTATTGTTTCAGGCAAATACAGTGACTTCCACAGATTGTATAACAACAAGGAATTCAAAAAGGCGGCAAAACTATTAATTTCTTTAATAACATCCAAAATAGCTCCAGAATAGTAAGTTTCAACATTTATAATTTTTTTTACACAGTTTTACTATTGTAGGACGTAGAGTTGATTTTATATAATCTAGCCTTAATGTATGCTTTAGTCTAGTATTATAATAAAAAAATCAAGTTTTAATGAGTCACCTCACAGTTAGTTTTAAACCAAACAATTGCTTTCTTTTATACAGTTGAACCCAGTCATGCCCAAGAGACGTTGACTCTTGTTCATAGAGATTTCTTAATTATCCAGTTGGCACTTAACCAAATTTGATTGTATATTAATTATAAACTATTTGCAGTTTCTGGGAGACATTACTGTTGGACACTTTGCCATTGCTGGAGGCAGAGGAGCCAGTGTTCTCTTCAACAGAAACATACGAGATCCTGCTGTGCCTCGAGCTGCGGACCAAGTTGCTGACTGGGGAGAAGGCGGACCTGTTGCGCCTGGCCTGCGTCAGGAACCTAGCTAGGACTGTCTTGTTGGATGGTGTTGAAGAATAACAAAAGATATTGGTTGAAGTGTTCATTAAAATACTAAGTGCATTGTGATAAAGGATAGTGATGCCTAGAAGTTGTCGGAGACAGTGATGGGAATGTCCATTGTAACATACTAAAATGAATTTTGTGTACCCCTTAAGTGGAAGTTTACAAATACAATTTAACTAACCAAATTAGAGCTTAATCCATCAAAAATGTGTCGTACATAGACTCCATTACAAACCAGTGTTATTGAAATTTATGTCACTTTAGTTTGTTATGTTGCACATGCAACTGGTGACATAACATAGTACCATTTTATTATGCTCTAGTAGTATCCAACAAAGTTATCTGATCCAGTGGGCATAAGCTATGATAGCTCACTAGCTCCCTCCTGGCATTGTCAGAAGATCCTTGTCATGCTGCGGCTGTCTTGTCATGTTCTTTTTGTTTTTTTGTCATTTTCTCTGCCTATGTTGGTTCTCCATATTTTCTGAAAACTAATATTTCAGTACTTACTGGATCAGATAAGTTTGTAGTATTATACAATATACATTTTTAATTGTCATTGATTTTTTTTTGTATTTATGTACCACTTTGAACTGTGTATTTAATAATTTGTTACTGCAAATATTTTGTAAAAACTAAAAAAATCAGCGCATAAAATAACGCGTGATTAAAAATATTAAACAATGATTTTGTGTCATTTAGTTTCTTTTTTATTTGCATACAGAAACCTGAGATCATAAATACCTATTTTGTATTCACCAGGAAAAACCTACTGTTTTTATAAGAGTTATTTTCGTGCTTTTACTGCAATAGACCAATATGTTATGCTATATTTTTTTCTGGTGGTTATAAAAAATGTGTATACCTACATATCGCGTCTCTTGACAAAACTCCCACTTCCCATTCTTGACTTTGAGAGGTGAGAGGATTTGAACTTGAACATACATATTCATCAGATGAGACAGCAGGCTCCAGCATATGTGGATTTACAGTACTATTTTATGTTCCACTTCTCATTTCATATTCTCTTTGGTCGAACAGAATTACCATAAATACACAACTTACCTCAACATATTTGACATACTTAGTTCTTGACAAGTTGTCAAACTGTCATGTCGTTATGTCAAAAATCTTAAATTATACTCGAAGTGAATTCAGTACATCCAGTTTGAAAATTATGAATTATAAATGATTGAGTGTCCGAAAAAGAAGGAGAAAAAAGGAAATTCAAAACTCTGCGAGTCAGTATAATGTTGCTTATATTTTGACATTGTCATGACCTTGTTTTGTAATATGAAAATAATAAGGTTTAACTGGCAGTTGTCGGCCGGTTTGCAAACACCGGAGGCGGACATGGAAGGGCGTGACACTCAAAACGTCTGCGGAGTTGTTGGTCGAGAAAGAGCTAAAGGAGGAGAAGCCAGTGCAACCTATTGTAAGTAAGGACGTTGATTCCTTTATCACCTAATATATTTTTGTATTTGACAAGTGTAACAATTTACAATAAAGTTCCATTTTATATTTATAATAACGAGTGTGGTCATATTTACATTTTGCAGAAAATACATCCTATGAAACCATGCGAAAAATGGGTAAAGTCCCGTGAAATTATACCGCCGGTGAAGGTAAAGAAACCCAGCATAGTGAAGATATGCGAAGCGCCTATCGCGGACACGGCGGCCACACCCTACGTGGAGTTCGCTAAACTGGCTAAGGAAATTGGTACATCGCAGTCAATTTTTACTACTAAATAGGTTGGCAACTCTTCTGTTCCTTTGGTGTGGCAACACCTGAGAAACCGCAGTCCTGCTGGTTCTGGCATTTAGGTCAGAGATATGTGAGCTTCGAGAAGGCCCCTTAGTTTTAATTATTTGGAAGAACTTTTGCTAAAAGTCTAAGTTTAACTTTTGAATTACCGCAGTTTTTTAAATGTTATAAGTGTTTAGACTGGTTTGTACCAAAACATCGATGATAGACGGCAATAGTTTTGTCCAGGTGCGTGGGACTCTGTGCGCAAGACGTGCGCGTTCTGCTCGTGCCCGGGATGCTGCGCGTGCGCATCTCGGGAGTACGAGTTGAGGGAGGAGGGGGCGGTGCAGCGCCGGCGCGCTATGACCGACTTCGACAGGCGAGTGCGTGATGATTGCAAGATCATGCGGATCATGTATAATAACATTTAACAGAAATAACATTATTAATAAAATATTTTGCTCCAAAATTAGGTATGTATGTACTTGTTTGTTTTTCAACATTTTAAAATTATTAAATAGCGTTAGCGAAACACTCATATCCAAGGATAAGTCTGTAACCATTGTTCAACTATTGTCTTGATTGAATTTGATAATTCGAGTGCTGTTATGTGAATGTTATACCACATGAGAAAATACAACATCGAGGTGCAAGTTGTTGAACAACTAAAGAAAAATTCATCGATGAAAATCATAAATTTTTTTAATCTTACAAGATTAAATGATGGTTGTAACATATTAAACTAAATATTATAACGAGTTATTTGAAGCTAGAGATCATTGTCACAGAGCAGGCTGTCGGGGTTCTTTTCGCAGATGAAGGCGTACTTATTTTCGCACCAGAGGTCGTCCAAAAGCGCTGTTCTGTACACGGCGCCGCAGTACTCGCCTGTAGTCGCGTTGTTGGGTTCGCCGCCGGAGAACTTGGCGTAGCCAGCCTCCTGCAGCGTCTCACCTGTTAACGAGTCAAACACCATTAGAGACGCAGTGACAACGATAGCGAATGCAAGAACTTATTCGGAGTCAAATGATTACCATGTATCGTTAGCCATTCGCCGTGCTCGTTCCAATCGTGGAAACCAACAAAGGCGACGTCTTTCCAAAAGTTGCCGATCATCGAACCGCCGGGGTGCTTAGCGAAGAGCTCCCTGATCACCGTCGCCTCCGCATCGTTGTTGATGATGGCGAGGTGGCCACCCTCCGCCGAGCAGGCCATGTAGGCACGCGACCACGTGCGTGGCACGCTGTGGAACTTGTAGCAGCTGCCTGTGCGCGCGTCGAACGCGTACTCTGTAGCACGTAAATACAAAACATATAACAAACAACAATAAGGCATGTAAAATGCCACTTGAGGTGTGGAAGGTTGAGGGTGTCTTCCTCTAACCAACACTCAGCTAGGATTATAGAGTTCAGATTCTTATCGCTTCGGGTTTTACCCGATGTTTCCTAATGAAACAAGAATATCAGCAAAACAAACTTTCATCGAAAATTTTGGAATTATTACTTTTCCACTTAAGAGTTAGTACGTATGTGCTAGAAAATTGTTACCATTGTCGGTGGTGCCGCAGCTTGTCATGACCATCGTCTTCGCGCTACTCTTGTAGCAGATGTAAGGAAGTGGGTCGCTGCAGTCGACGTCGGCGAGATTGCCATCGGGCAGCATGGCGATGCAGCTCTCCTGGTCCTTGTAGTTGTCCGGCTCCCCGCTCGCCCAAGTATGAGGGATTTTCGACAATGGGACGCCTGAATACAGCAATTTAAATAAGAATTTCATAAGTTGAAAGGAGACCTCAATAGAGCCTTCGAACGATTGGGTCTTATGATGAATATGGATAAGACGATAGTCGTGACATCATGTCACGGATGTTGTTGTTGACGAGTATGTCTGACTGGAACAAACTGTCCAGAAAAAGAGATTACACTTCGAGAAGCAGGTCAGTGGCCGAACTATTAACGTACAAAAGTCACAGACGTCTTAATTGAGCAGTCTAATATATCTGATAATACCAACGTCCAGCGGAAACCATAGAACATAGAGCCTTAAAAATATGCATATATGTTTCTGTGACTAAATACATAAAGGTGCCATTGTTCTAGAATATTTTTTTAAATGCAGAACCGATGGGGAAAATTTTATTGTTCACATTTATAATGTTGCGAACAACCGTCATATCTAAATTCATTCTTTTCTTATTTGTCAATCTTCAGTATTTGTTTAGTCGTCTTTTGCCTTTGTATCCCTTCATATTCAATCTCATTATTTCCTCATCATCATCATCATCTCTGCATAATATAACCATACCTCACTAACTTATGAAATATCCTATTAAAAATATCTTCGTTAATATTGCCCTTATGTATACATCGATTTGTAGATACTGTTGTATGTAATTGTTTTTACATGTTAATACAATCAGATAAAAATACAATAAACAGTTGCTTAAATATAAAACTTGTGCCTAAAATAAACAATCTTTAGTGCTATAAGCTATAGGTTATCGAGAAATGACACTTGAATACTATATTGATAGTTGAATTATATATACATACTATATCATATGATAATTTCCTTGGATCGAACGAATTAAATTACATACTAAAATGATTCCATCAGTGTTTGGAAGATTTTACAACATGAAACGTCAAGTCAGCGAAAACATTTTCCCGAATCCGTGCTATTTGACTGCAGAATACTATAAAGGCATCCTACGACTCTCTTATTCAGTCATTATTTAACCCCGATTTATATATCTTAAGAACTGAGTGGATAATTTATGGCTGGAATTTATGGTTGTGTGTGATCATCATTATGTTAATATACATACCTTCGATGGAGTACAGATCACCTCTTGAGAACATTGCGTGTATGCCAGTGAAGGCGCCGCAAGTCATGTCACCTGACGCTTCCCCTATGAGTACCGACATCGCACTTTTCAGACCCACGTTCAAGGGAGACGCCAAGTTGCTTCCTGTGGACGTTACGTGACCATCTTATTAAATACTTGTTTTCTTAAGAAATATCTGTAAGATCAAAAGGTTTTCTTTTTGGCCAGTCTTCACGAAGGATATTAAAATGAAGACAAAGGAAGACCAAAGAATGGTATTATGAAGTATACTTTGTCCCACTCTCTTCTTCTATGAACCCAAGGTACTAAAGCACTATCATTATATCACAGATTTAAGAGTTATTTGAGGATGAATTCGTATAATAATTTAAGTAAACATTGTAATAAAAAAGCCTCGAAGAGTGACCATATCATATCAACTTGCATTGAGAATGAAACAGACCTTCGAGGTGGCACCTGAGGCGAGCCTCGGCCCAGTTGGCGGGAACGCGGTGTAGCTTCAACCAGCCATTGGCGTTATGGAAATATCTGTAGTCACACCGAAATTTCTTGCCATCTGATAAAGTTGTAAATATTTATTTATTACACAAAATGGCGACTACATGAGTTAACTGAAAAATGCATATATATAAAAAGCCTCAGCCAGTGGTTACGCTGGCAAGTGTAAGTGTACTTGTAATTAATTTTCGTCGTAAATATCTTCAGCTACATATTTTCTCAATATATTACAAATTTACTTCAACAAGTATTTAATTTTTAATTTATAAAATGTTTCAATATAATATTAAGATTATCCCGTTGTGTCAACGTAATCATTTAATTAAAAAATATAATAATAGTAAGCATAAAAAGCGATAATTCAAAAATAATTTATGGCAATTAAATGAATTGTTTTATCAAAGTGAACTTACCTAATGCTGCTAGAAAGCTGAGCAAGACTATAAGACATCTCGTGTCCATGGCGAGGTTGGGGCTGCACTGAACACTTCGCACAAACAACTATTATATTTAACGCATAATATATTATAATATAGTTTACGAATTATATCGGCAGATGGAGATGTATAAACCAGGAACGAGAAAACCGATTAAACGTCACTAATTTTTTTTTATACCAATAGGGGTGGCAAATACAATATGTTGAGTGTTTCTCGTTTGGCTATTTCTCATCGAAATTCAAATAATTCGTTACTCGTAAGATCTCTATGGATCGGACTATCCTATTTATATTTTATTGTCTTTCCGCCAATTTTTTTGCTATAGACACAATACAGAAATGTTAGATTAACATTGTTGTATTTTGTAGAAAATCTCGATAAAACTGTATTACTATCTAACTAATAATATAAATGAATGAATGTTTAGATGAATGGATGGATGGATGTTTGTTGGAAGGTTAAACTGCTTAATGGATCTCGCTGAAATTTGGCATAGATGTAGAACAGTCAAGACGTAGACATAGGCTACTAATTTTAATTCTGTGAAAACGGGAAAGCGGGTGACAATATAAAAATACGGTCCACTTAAATGTCTGAAAATATAAAACATAATTGAAAATTATTAATACGTGATTAATGATTTTGTTATTTAGACAACCCTGAATATATTTCTGTTATACGCTGACATTTGTTCCGCTTGAAAATGTATTTGACTGCAACCGCTGTGATTGTATGTTAGCTGATAATAAATATTAAAATAAACCGAGGGAAATACCAAAAACTTTGATATAATACAGCGATAATTACCTACTAAATAAACATTTACTTTAATTATTATTAATAAATATAAAGTACGTACGCATAAATAAATGTTTGATAGATAGAACTACGGAAAAACCTCAATTTATTTATAATTGACGTTCGTTCAATAAGGTACGATTTATAATGCTGAACGATTTGTTATGTAACATTGTAGTGATGTGGAAAAAGATGTAAGTGGGCGCCTAGCGGTTGTATAAGGCGCCTAAAACAGCGTCTGCTTATATCTACTATAATAATAAAATAAAGCCTACAATTTTTCCTTTTAAAATTATGAGATATCTTTTAAACACCGTGGATAATACTTCAATTTAGTTAACTCTTTAAAGTTATTATGAATGTTGTTGCAATATCACGCTTGTCGCTTTACACAACGAAAAGTAATCACAATTCATGTTTTATTTTATTTTATTTGACTTCATATAGATATCGATTCAAAGCGTCGATCGTCAAAAGCGACGCCAGACGCCATTATCCTAACATACATCTAAATACATAAAATAAAGTTAATAAATTTTGATTAAAAAATAACCTTGTCTTTTTCAATCCTTTTATTTAAATTTTCAAAGCTAGAACATATATTAAAATAAACTATTAAAATATAATAAATAAGTTGCCTACAAATAAAACCTTATAAACAAAATGGATCATCTAAAATATATGTAAAAGTTAAAAGTATTTTATGACCTGACGAGGTTCGTTTCGAAGGCGGCTTTCACAGCACCTGGCAATTAAAAAAAACAAATTGAATAATTCCGACATACATTAACCCTTAAATGGACGATTTTTTTTTTACGTTTTAAAAAAATATATTTGTGTAATCATTTATTTTTAATGCATAAAAATATTGGATAGTGCCAACATTAAAAAAAGTACAAAATTCGTTCAGAAATAAGAACTAGTTGTCAAAATTAACAAAAAAATAAAATAAAGATAATTTTATCTGTGATGTTTAGTATGTTGTTTAAAAACAACATTGTCCATTTAAGGGTTAATAAAATTAATTAATATTATTAGAATGGACTATATTGGGAAAACATATTCCAAAACTTCTTTCGCGTAGTCCTTTCGCCTATGAAATAAGGGCAAGAACATTAATTGGAAATAAATAATTTTGTCTATGGTGCTCCTTACCTCTGGCTGATAATTTTTTGACTGCATGTATGGCTGGAAAGTCTTGTGCCTTTTCATTTACTATAATTTTCTCTTTGCTCTTAGAAGAGCTAAGCGATGTTTCTTCCGGAATCATGTCATGGGCTCTCTGAACAAGGTTGATACAATACTTTAAGATTAGTATATAGAAATCCTACAATTGTTATGAATAAAAAAATACATTTCAGTTTAGATGTTTCGGTGTCGGAAAGTCACCGTTGGGGACTGGGAGGTGGTGCCACTTGCGTCGAAAGACTCTGCAAAGCAGGTCCTTAGTGTCCTGAATGTCCTTAGTAATAAATAATAAAGTGAAATTTAACCGGTCTACAAAGTGATAATTTTTGGTTTTAGGACTAACTGTTGTACGCTGGTACAATTGACAGATTGTCAGAACTGATAGAATGTCCACGACACGAGGTTAGAGTAGTAAGGGGGGGGGGGAAGGATGTAACCAGAAATCTACATAACGTATTTCATTGCATTGATTGAAAACAAGACTATTTGATAAACATTTTTATTTGATCAGAAAAGTTAGTAGATGAGGGAAGATATTTCTTGACGATAACTCCCTCTGGTGAATTTTCAGGACGGCGGGAGGTTGTCGGTGGCGTGTGGCTCAGGCTCGTGATTCGCTGTAGCCTGCGGAGAAGGCTGATATTCAGCAGTGAACTGCAGAGGTTAGGGAGTGGAGGGAGGGATGGAAATTGGACAACCCCTAGTTATTATACACTTTGTAATGGAATTAACTAAGAAGTTTACTAGGATAACTCTGAGGACGCGATTTTTTTTAAAGAAATCCTATTTTAAAAAACTTTAATTTTATGTTTTGATGTTATTTTCTATTTTTTTATCATTTACTTAGCGTGGTATTGCAATAAAATATGCTGGATTCAAAAATACATGAGAGCGATACCACGAAGTTTGCCTATCCTCTGTCAACGTTGTTCTCTTGCTTACACTCTGACACTAAGTCACTAGAATGTGATGAAAACGCCAGTCCAAGTCCCCAATATCAAAAAAAAGAAGAAGAATTATTGACGTCTTTCATCCTTTGGCAATAGGAAACAGGCAAGGTATTTAGCTCCCATTATGTTTATCGTATCATGCCTTCTCGCGTGTGTCATTGAAAATAAGAGGAGTCGAAGTAAAAAACTATTTTCTCAGAGGCCAATATTTTAGTACAGCAAGCTTCTTACCGAGCTGCAAGCTTCTCTGAAATTTGGCGAGTTGTTGACGAGTTTTAGGAACTCGATGCATCTCTCTTGTACTTCGTCGGTGTCCTCGGGGCGCGGACTGAAGTCTATCACGACATGATGGGGCTGGAACGGCTCGCCGGTCCCCCTGCCGGCGTCTATTACTGGCGACGATACCAACTTCGCGCATCAATGACAAATATAGATAATTAGAACTAAAGGCCGACAAGCAGCAGCGCTGTGAATATGTATAATATTTGTGCCTGTGCCTCAAATTATTGTACTGTTTTACGAGATCAAGACGGTGTTTTACGTAGTTTTTGGAATGCCAATCTGTATGTAGAGCAGAACCTCGATGTATAGATAAGGGAAAGTAGCATTAGGCTTCTACTTTGTGAGTGGTCGTACTTCGACCGCGTCTTACGTCGATGCCTCGACCTCGCACTCCACGGAACGGACGCTGGCGATAACTTTGCGCTACGCTTACTTGAGACTGGTTGCCGGTGGACTTTTCTGAGGTTTCGGAGCAGGAAGAGCCCGAGAGAGACATGGTCTCGCAGCACGGGCAGCACACGGAGGATACACTTAACGTCAGCCAGTCCGATATCGCTCGGGCATTCTTCCACAACCTGACAAGTCTGAAAGTAGCGGGCTGGAATGTGTACGGTGTCAAACTAATCATTTAATTTCTTCCTATTAATGTGTTAATGCCTTCTCTTAATATAATTCTGCCATTGTCAATATCTTTTAAAATTTTGACATCAGGTTCATAGACAATAAAAATATAATCATTATGTTTTTAAATTGTTACTTGTCAAATTCCTCTATTTTTTTTCTATAAAATTCATTATTTTTTTTATGGACCAAGGGCAAAGTACATATATTTATAAGTCTAATCTTTACCGGAGATTTTTTATTAATCATTATAATTTGGGAAAATATGAAAAGTTTCGGTAATATGTAGACTAGAAAAAATTTAATCACCTTTTATATTTTCGTTAGTTTAGATCGGTTAAGTTTAAAACAAATCTTACTAATATTATAAATGCGAATGTTTGTTTGTAGGTATCTGCAGATCTCACTGAAATTTGGTATAGATGTAGAACATAGGCAGGAAGAACAAATAGGCTACTTATTAACTTTCTATTAATTCCTTGCGGACGACAGCTACGTTACGTAGGGAAGGTTGATGACAAGAGTTTTAAATTTAATGATATACATTATGCGAAACAAAGGAAAGTTATTTTTTGGTACTGAATATTTATTTCTCACAACTTTATGAATCATATTATCATAGGTTACATGTAAGTACAATTACTCCTGGGTAACTCAACTAAAATTAATGATTTATTTTTGTTTTTGTAAAAATATTAACAATTTTTTTTTGGAAATTTACTAATATTTCTTGTACCATTCCAACTAAGCTCTAGGCTTGTGCTAGAATATGGATTTTTATTAGATATGGATTCAAACTCCCAACCCTGTGATAGGAGATCTGTACTCCTAACCATTAGGCTATAGATGCTTCAACACAGATTAGATCACAATTAACATGTGTGAAGCAGATCAGTTGTGTTCTGTTCAGTTTGTATCTGCATGGTTTGCGAGTCTCTGGGCAGCTCATGCCTACTGAGGCATGAGCATGAGATAACTGAGAAAGCTCAGTAGCTTAGATATGCATCACCATAGTTGTAAGCCGCCAATTTTGTTATTGAACTCCAACTTAACAGTTCAAGTCTACTTGATTTTAACTTTTTATCCAGTTCAGTGACAATTTATAGTGTTGACTTTCTAATTAAAACTGTTCTGTAGCTTTTGTTTTAGTAAATATGCATAAAAGTTGGACAAACTAATGGTTCACACTGGTAGTACCGACTTGACAACATCTAATCTGATTTCAGAAGTCTAAGCTTGTACTCATATTTATATATAAATTGTCACAAACTTTTTAATGTTTATAATCAACTGATGTGAATTTATTTTAGTAATACAATTGTTTATTTTGAACTTGTTAAGCAAATACATTTAATCTTTTCTGTTAGCATAAAAAGATTCCATGGATTGTAATTCCTGTACTTTATAATTCAAAATTTTGTCAAAGCCTTGATAGTGAAATTTGCCATAAAACAATTTACCACTTAACATGTATGGGAACCAAAATCTGTCATCGGGCCACATGTCGTCAAAAGGTATTGCTTTACAGTTATACCATTTCGGAATCATTTCATCAGTTTCAGCCGGTGTACCTTCAAAAATATTAGAGGCGAAAACGTTGACGTCCATCACTGTTGAATCTCCTTCAAATGTAAATTCTAAATGACCAATACTTTTTAAATCTCTTATTTTAACACACAAACAACATTCTTCTTTTAATTCACGTACTGCAGCCTCTTTAATTGTTTCATTGTGCTCTAATTTGCCTCCAAAGCCATTCCACTTGTCTTTACCAAATCCTCGCTTTTTCAATCCTAAAAGTATTTCATCATCTTTGCGTATAAAAATCAAAGTGAATACTTTTTTTAATAACATATCACTGCCTATATTTATTGTTTATACCTTAATATTAAATCAAAACGTTAACTTACAGTCCTTTAGTATGTACATCAAAAAACTTTACAATATTTGTTATAAAAGTAAACTGTCAAAGTCAAAACAAGCGCGCTTTTTGTATTCGTTCGGAAATATTTTTTTGCTAAATTAAATTCAGTTTTAACTTTAAACTGGGTGAAATAAAGTAAGTTATAATATTAATAGACATTGGTTCTAAGTCGAAATCAGAGATGCGTGAAGTTGCGGTAAGTTATGGCAAGTTGTCACGGACGAAATTTTTGGAGCGTTAACAAGCTTATCGTAGAGTCCGAAGCATTTCATAGAATATTTTGATGATTTCATATGGTCGGGATATTCGGGATGCTAAGTTCTATCTAGAACAAGAATAACAATAACGCGTATTTGCAATAGATAGCAATACTGAAATTGTATTATACGAAGGCTGATATTAAAGCTATATGCAAATTAGTCAGAGAGTCGCAGCGCTTTTTCCACATATAGTGGGGATGGTAAAAAGCATTCATGACAAAATACGCATTTGCCTCAATAATATTGCGTTGCCCATATTAAAATATTCTAATTTGAATTTTAAGTTGCTTCGCATATATTGTTTATTTTTAAAAGGTCGTTTTTTCATATATTTTAAAGGCAAATTTTTGGCAATATTTAGGTGAAATTCGACTGATGAAAAGTTTCCGATATTTTAACCCCTGTCTCTCCATTTTCATCACAATCTTCCTTGTATCTTACGGAATGCTTATTTACCCATTGCAACAAAATGTCGTTATTTAGAGTTTTCGTAACAAAAAGATTTTTATGTAAAATATTATGCATAAAAATGAATACACCAAAAAGAGTGATTTGAGCCATTTTCCAGCCATTGTTTGAGCGACGAACCATAACGAATCCTGTTGTGACACCTTAAATAGGTTTTTGTTAAACAATGCCTTTTGAATTTGGTTGCGCGTATTATTTAATGTCATTTACACTGGTAGCATCGTAGCTTGTACTACGAAACCGTAGGCCGTACGAAACGAGTCATATCTCATGGTATATTAACAACAGAATGGGTTTCTTATTAGACAAACGATTTTGATTTTAACTTAGAGGGTTATTTGGTTTGCTTATTTTTTCAATTTTGCTTTCTTTATGTATAATATAAACTAAGTTTTTAACCAGTACGAATGTAAGGTACGTTTTTGTGATGGTCACCAGCTCGGTAACAATTAACAAAGTAGCCTGTCATAGAGAATCCTATAATGCTGCAAAGTTAAACTAATTTTCAACACAGTTTAAAATTTAAAACTTTCTTAAAAACTCTTTAATGCGATCATTTAAAGTGTCTGTTACAAATTTAAATTGAATTTTAGAACTTTAATATGTGTAGTGCAGTTCTGGTCAGTCGAATATGTTTTCTTTTTTATTAATAATTTGATGATGGTATATTATAACAACGCAAGTTTGAAATGAACTTCGTCTATAAGGCAAAATGTAGCGTTAATGCAATTTCTTCAGTCAAATTAATGGCGGACAAGGTTGGGTTGCCGTCAATTTTCTATAATTATCGGTAGGGGAGCGGGTAATTAGGTTTGCTTGCATCTCCGGCAACGCGACTGCGCGACAATCATATTTGTACGGGAAACTCCCCAAGGAATAAACGTGTTAGTACTACATTTATAAAGTGTTACAAGATACATCAACAATGGTATGAAGTTCAAGACTTTGACAGTTGTATTCTCAGGAACATCCAATCCGAATTCATCATTTGATCATTTAAAATTACGCTAAGATAAATGTGTTGTAATTTATTTGTGTATGCAACTAATTACAGTATTATTTCGTTTACTAAAAAAATATTTCGATAAGGTTGTCATTTTGAACTTAAAAATACAAATAAGTTTTTAGGTTATATTTTTGATCTGAAACATTACTGTAGTCGGCTAACATTGATTTAATTAAAAAATAATTACAGATAAAAAATTATAAACATAAAAAACAGCTGTAGTTTTTGTGTAGATTTCAAAGCGATGCCTTTGTCAGGTTGTTTCACTGAAAACTTTGTAGCGACACAAACTTTATCAACCAACTTCGACAACATGTTGTGTTTGACCTTTTTGTTTAAAAGACAAAAGCAATTATACGAGAGTGGATAACATCTCCATGTAAAAAACAAGAAAATAGAATCACATCTTAACATCTTACTAATATTATAAATGCTAATGTTTGGATGGATGGATAAATGTTTGTTAGAAGGTATGTACATATATCCAGAATAGTATGGATCTCGCTGCAATTTGGCATAGATGTAAAACATAGTCTGGAAGAACAAATAGGCTAATAATTAAGTTTTTTTTAATTCTGCGCGCATGGAATCGCGTCGACAGCAGATAACTGTATAAATTTAAAAATGCGTTTATCTTTCCAATTGTTTATTTACACGACAACTTAATTGCGTAAACAATTAGTGAAAATTAATAATTTAAAATAAAGAAAAAAGTTGATAATTAACACAACAGTACTCATTTATTCGTAGTGCCTGATCTTACATTTTGTATGAGTTTCCAGTATTCCCAACATTTTGTTTCCAAATCGGGGTCATCATCCTCACCGGGGATGGGTGTAAAGTCGAAGTGATGCACTTCCCACTGTTCCGAATCGTCTGAATTTGAACTTCTAGATGTAGAACTTATTTTATCATCGCCTTTTTCATGTTCTTCTTGTATACTCGAATAACTTTTATTGTGCTTTTTGGTACAATCACTTTTTGATATTTGCTTGTTCTCAGTATTGGGTTTTAACGGTTTCTCATTTCTTGGTTGTTGATTATCGTCGACAGTTTTATAGTTATAGACCCTTTCATTTTTACTGTTTGCTATATTTTTGTCATTTTCTATATATGATTTAGACATATTTAGAAACGTAGTAAAAATTCTCCCTTTGATAACTATAAAACAGGACCTAATCCGTGTCTTGGTTTTTTAACCTTATGAAATGTTTGATGATTCAATAGTATTTGACATAAACTGCTCTTGATGTTAAAGATTTTTTCACTGTTTACATAATTATACACAAATCAAAAGAAACTCACAAATAACTACCTAAAATATCCTAATTATTTAATTCCCTAATTTAGCTGTCATATTACGTATTTAGAATATTTTACAATGAAGTAAATATGAAGCATCTGTCATATGTCTTATTTTTATTTATTTTATAAACTTTGTACTGACCAGTACTTAATAAAACTTATTTACCAGAGTATTTCCTAAAGACTGTTAGAGTCGATGAAGTAAATACTAAATTATTACTCTTTATTATTTTACAAATTATTAATCCAATTAATCCTTTGGCGCGAATGGCGCGCTTACATTGCAAAGTCAAGTGTGATTGGTTAGGGGACATAAACGTCAACATTTTAGTAAGGCTAGTGTTGTGCCAGTACACCGGCACAGTGTCGGATTTTCTTCCTAACAGTTATTAGATTTACCTAACAGTATGGTATTTATAATATGGGGCATTCCACGCCAAGCGGGTAGTCAAAAAAGTCGTCGTTTCTGATTTAAAAATATTTCCGTATCTCTATCTATATATGTCTTACCTACGTGTATCAAATCTTTTTTTAATATAGTGACTAGTTAAAGCATTATAGGATTTTGAAATTTTGACAAACTGGTGGACTTGCGGTACTTCCAAGTCGATTATCAAGCCATCACATTGTAGATTTGAACACAGTCGGACTTTGGGCATACATTTATGTGTATTTTACAAACATACCACACAACAATAATTGTTACGACTGAAAAGCTGATTAGAAATTATGATATCATAATCGTTTGTTGTTACAAAAGCTATCTTTTATAACAGCATTTGCGAAGACAGCGGCAACGGTGCGGGGCGTAAACTCGATTGGCCGCGTCTCGACGTCTTTGCAGGAAACAGGCAGTTACAAAAGCTTAACTTCCGATATGACTTCATTGAATCATAACGTTTTTTATAAAACGTTGAAAATATTAACTTGTAAAAAGACGTAAAGCTGAAATACAATGTGAAACGTTACCGCTTTTTTAGAGAAAAATATATAAACGTGTACATCAGTATTGTTGTGAATGTAAGAATACAATGCCTTTGTGTTTGTTGTTGAGTATCTTAGAACAAAAGCGCGATACAATGTTAGTGTTGTTCATTCTAGCCGATTAAATGAATTGAAATCATTTCTTTTGATAGCGCGTGTATGCTTTTAAAAGAATAAGTGTCGATACGAATTAAACGATTGTTTTACTTCTTTACGCATGTTTTTACATAAAAAATCCTTATACATCATAATGTCACAATATAAATTAATAAAAAATATAAGAAATTTAATTTTAAAAGCTTAAAGCAATCATTAGAATGAATGAATGAATGAATGAATATTTATTTATTGCCACAAACAAGGAAAAGAAAAACTACAAAAAAAAACAAGTTAAATTAAATAAATTGAGGATGTGGCAAAAAAAAGGTGGTCAGCTCAGCTGGTGCAGGGAGGTCTTGACCAATCCTGCGCTGGTTTTCAGCTGGCCCCTTTGTTTTAGAATAATCGCCAATATTGTCACTTTCTTACTATTTCCAAATAGATTTCCAAAAAGCTTTTAATAGAATTCTGCTTACGTCGAAAGCTTGGAGTAAACATAGAGAGGAAAATCCCAATCTAATTTGAACACCCCACGATGCCCTATTTTGTTTAAATGTTCTTTGTGAAGGTAAATATGTGAAGGAATTGGACCTATCCCTTGCTTACATAGGAGCCAGAATCTATTGACTCGAACGAATGTACGACGTAGCAGATAAAAAATGTCATTATGAATCAATATTATCGACGCTTAAATTCACTTTTTTTTTCTTGTTTTATATTTTTAGTTTATGATTTCAATTTTGCAGCGATGTTCAGTCAGTTATCAATGTAACAGGCATATAATAATTTGATAAAACAAAGGAAAAAAAAAAATTTTATTTAGGCAATCTATTTTTGTTGTCATTTGCTTCAATAGAAGTGCTGGTGTTGGTGGGTGAGGAGGTTCGGCAATCGTTGTCGACCTCCAAGCTGAGCTGGCTCCGCGCGTCGGTCGCCCTGTACCGTTTTTTCTCTTTTATTTCATCATCTATTCGTTTGCATAAATCAATAACATTATTTCTCAATTCAATAGGTATATCTCTTACCATAACTTCACGTAATAAAGAATTTCTGTTTTCTTTTATGTCATCAAATGATTTACTTTTTTGTCGAATATCGAAAAGGTTAAATGCATTTTTTATTTTCGGCCAATATCTCCGTTTCTTAGTATTCTCTTCATTACATATACAAATAATCGTATTGAGACAAAGAGACAAACATATAATTCCACAACATACCAGAGTGACGCTTATAGCTATGGATACAAAGGCTATTTTGCAGAAAGCGGTAACATCGACTGATTCATCTAAACTGTATAATTTACCAAGAGCAAGATCTCGTAAGAATTTTAAATTTTGTGATATCGTAGACAAATTAGATGTAACTTCAATTTTAAATCGTTTGGGAGTTTCTGAGGTGGTAACAATGGTGGTGCCCAGACCGGTGCTGATAGCGTAGATGTCTTGCAGCGTCAGCGGTGACTCTAGATCTCTGCAGGTGTTGCTCACCACCAGCAGCGCCGCCTCGGGCAACTCTTTGCTGGGGTCTCCGCCGCACGTAGTCACTGGCATACATTTTTTAAACATGTCGCTGTAAAATGATCTCATTCCTAAATATTTTTGATCACAATCTGCTGGATTACATTCATTTAATGAATTTTCATCGATCTCCGAACATTCTTTGACAGTTTCATTTTCTATATAATCCTTTAATAAATACGATGGTACTTCTTGGTCGTATACTTTAGTGTTAAATGGTTCACGAAACTTAGTTTTATTTTTTGTTCTATCGCATTGATACTCTAAACTGCAATCAATATAACCGATTAAGTCGTGTTGAAATAAGGTCGGTAGCACAGATATTAAGGTCATGTTCTCTTTCGGTTCCACTGTGTACAGTTGGGCACTGCTCGTTTCAAAAATATTACAGTCTCTTTTAATTTTGTCCAGTATACAAGTTTTCGTTTTTGTAATTACTTTACACGCACTGTCCTTTTGGTTTTCCACATCAACGTAGAACTGAATACCCACAGATTTCTTTACCAAAGGCTTAACACCTTTGTCTAATATAGTAATTGCATGCAGTATTGAAATTAAATAAGTGATCAAAATTACAACACAGATAGAAATTGCCTTTGTAAACATAGCATTTTTGATTTTACGGATTGTCAATTTATTATAATGTCATTTGAAAATTGAAAGATTGATATTGAAAGAAGGTTTATTTGCAAAACTACTTATTGTATGCGCATTTGTAGAGAAAAGTAATAAATACAAAAATAATTATAATTCGGTTATAGTTTTTGCAGAATTAATCATATATTCATCCTTAACAAAGTCCGATGCATGTTCAGCTATCATCATGGTCGCAGCATTTGTATTAACACTTGGTATTGTCGGCATGATACTAGCGTCGACGATTCTTAAGTTATTTATACCTTTTACTTTTAATTTATTATCAACTACTGTTGTAGAATCACTAGGTTTACCCATCTTCGCTGTTCCTACAGGATGATAAACATTAAAAGTAATAGTTCTGGCCATGCATTCCCAGTACTCATCGCTTTCCATTTCGTAATCATCACAACTTTTAAATTGAATTCTTGGTATTTTTGCATTGATCCCCTTAAATGTTGGCGTATCAACAATTTTCATTACTTTTTTAATACTTTTTACAAATAACTTCATATCTCTATCGTCACTAAAATATTTTGCATAGATTTTTGGGAAATCGACAGCATTAATCGATCGCAATAATATTTTACCCTTAGAATATGGGCGACATAAGGAAATATAAAATAGTAGAATTTCATGTTGCTTGTTGAATTCTAAAAACTGTTTACAAATTTCATCATTATAAGATAATGCTTTTTTACACATGGAAAAAATGTATGATGAGTTAGGTACAAAATAGTTGTGGTCTATTTGCACATCTGGTAATTTTTTGTTTTCGTCAACAGAGAGAAATGCATTGAGGTTGGGTTGATCGTAATTTGTCGCATGCGGTCCAGTTTGGTCGATTAGATATTGAGCAGTAGCTTTGTGCCAATAAGCTTCATCCTCCTCAGTAGCATTTGTATTAAATGTAACTAAAACTGGAATCCTTACATGATCTTGCAAGTTCTCGCCAACCGGTAGATCTGCGTTCACTTTGATTTTTAATTCTTTAAGATGTGATTTTGGGCCGATACCAGACAACATTAGAAGAATGGGGGTATTTATTGAACCAGCGCTTAATATAACTTCTTTTCTAGCATAGAATGTAGTTGCATCGCCGTTAGACAGTATGACACTTACACCTTCAGCTCGTTTACTGTCATCTATCATTACTTTGGTCACTATAGTCTTTTTTAAAACGTAAAGATTTTTCCGTTCTCTAGCTGGACTTAGGAAAGCAGTTCCAGCACTAACACGTTTTCCTTTATGATTACCTCCTCTTATTTTACCCACACCCATTTGTGTAGGGCCGTTAAGATCTTCCAAATATTTCAAACCCATATCCAGGTATCCTTGAGTTAACTTATTTGCAATATGAGTGTACGTATAGTTTAATTGGTCAATAACAAAGTTACCTTCAACACCGTAATTATCACGAAGTTGAGGATTATTCAAGATGGAGGGATCGACAATTTTTTCACTTTTCTTGAAATATTTTTGTATTGTGGGCCAATCCCATCCATCGTCTTCTTGTAAATGCCAAGGTTCGTAATCTCCGGCGCTTCCTTTAATGTGTATAAGCCCATTAATACTTCCCGAACCTCCGATGACTCGTCCTCGAGGCCAGAACGATCTACGATCAACACATCCTTGGTTGATGGTATCGTCTTGTTCTGTGTAGTATTGAAATGCGTGACGACTTCTGTGAGTTACCGAGGCAAAGTTCGGAATCTGAAAAATATTTAGTATTTTAGGGCCAATTCCTAGTGTCCTAACACGTGTACATTATTATTATATCAGATTTTTTTCAAAATGGAAGAATGGTATGGAAAATATTCTTGTTGGTTTTATGGCAGAGGTGTTTCAGCATTAGCACTTACAATACTCTCTATCGGAGGATCGTCTCCTGCTTCTATGAGCAAGACTTTCCAATCGTCGATCTCAGTAAGTCTGTTGGCCATGATTGAGCCGGCAGTCCCAGAGCCTACTATAATGAAATCGAAAAATTCGCCATCTGAAAAAAAATCAATTTAGACTCTTTACTTTTCCTCTTCTCACATCAGACAAGAAATTCTTTGATTTGTTAACAAACAAAGTAGTTTTTATCTAACCAAATTCATAGAATTTTTTTAAATATTATGCGTTTATCATTAATCTGATATGAGATCTTTGTCGTAAATAAAGTAACCTATTCATATGAAAGTACTAATTTATATACTTTACATATAACCCTTTCGAAGGTGTCTTTGGGCCAGGTTTCAGTGATGGCACACTGAGCGGCCAGCAGGTGTGTCATCAGACTGGCAAAGGAGCTGCCCGCCGAACTTGACAGGAAGCTTGCGCAAGTCGCGTTCACGCATGCCATTCTGAAGTACATAATATGAGATCAATGGCATCTATGACTTAATATACATACTTATATTACTATTACTTATATAATATTAATGGAGCAGTAGTTCAATATTTAGATTGAAATTGAGTTTATTAAATAAAATATTAAATCTATAAACAATTCCGAGATATCTGAACACAATATTTTTTTTAGCTTTTTATAAACTAATAAATTGCATTCATTCAATAGATATACATCGAAAACTCTCCGACTTAACAACTCTGTTAGCTTTTCTAACTCTCAAATCTATTACACTTTAAGGTTAGAAAAAAACATTCTGCAATTTAATAAACCAATATTTAAAAATCAAATCTTACCTTGTCCTTTATAAATTATATACAACATAAATATATTTTAATAATACTTTTTAATTTGCCATATAATATAAATATTAATAATAATATTATATTCAGCAAATGTATACAGTTTTGCACATTCGTTCATTTACACGAACAAGTTCCCTTGATGTCGCTTGCATTTAGTAACTTATCAATTTAATTAGGTACAAGTTGCTCAGATAATGACATTTGATGCTGATAATATTATAATTTATTTCATTATTTTATCAGACGTTGATAATATTATGAAAATAAATTATGTAATACATGTTTACAGTAAGAATGTTTTTAATTAATATGGAGACAAAAGAGGCACAAACATCAAGCATTTTCGAATTCATTCAAGCTATTTTTGTTACAAGGGTTCACAATTAAACCGATGAACCACTAGTACTTTTTTACCGGACGTTTAGTTTTAAGAAATATACGAAACCCATGAATATCAGATGGCTTGCCAGCTAAATGAATGTAACCTTTCTATTAAAAGAACAGGACTAGAATATAGTTCTATAAATTGTTTTATTGACTTTTCTAGCTAAAATATATGCTTTGGTTTTGTTGAATGACTCAATATCCTAAATTCATTGCCTCCAATTAACTGGAAACATATGCCCGGCTCTTGTACTTGTATACGACCCTTGTTTGTTTGTAATATTAATTGCTTTTGTTAAATCGTTGTTTAACTTTCCATAGTAATTATAAATGTTGTATTTTATAGTACGCAAACGGAATATTATAACATATTCAAAGCTGATTTTTTTACGAATTTAAAATTTATAGCAATGCTTTTTATTGGTGTATTTTTTCTTCAAACCATAGATAAATTATATCTATAACCTATAAATTTTTAGTTTTTAATTCATGTAATAAATCTTTACATTTGCCTGACGATATAATACTAAGCGACAAAGTTCTGTGAACGTATTTTCTAAATGGTATGTTTATTTCCGCACATAAAGTTGACAAAGCAAAATTATATTGTCCTTTGTTTCTCCCACTGCGAAGGGTTTGTATCAAATAAGATGAGATGTAATATTGCAGGCCAGTCCCTATTTTATACGGCTTTACGAAATGGATATTGACACATGGGTATACTAATACTATAGATATTTTTTTGGGGAATAAGAACTCTTTTTTACGCGTTATTATGAAAATGTGATTATTTTAGAATGGACGTATAGGTAAAAGTTTTGTCGTAAGAATAATTTTTTGCAGAACAAAATAATCAGGCGCTCAGTATGAAGTGTATACATAATTTCAATGTCGTATTCTTTGACATTTAAAGTTCGGTCTTTATATTTTGTTGTATTTTTCTTGAATTTCTTATTATTGATGCTTATATACCAAATAATAGTGTGATTTGTCTTATATTACCTTTATGTATCTCTTACAGAATCAAAATATGCCGTTGTCGACGATAACAAAAAAGAAATAACATTTACATAACAAAGTTTATTTTGCCTAAGCGTAACATTTTTCCAGAAATCTGAGCAATTTTCCCTTTATACGAATAAAATTTATCGCAAGTAATATTCAAATTAAACTGCTTCGTATACGCAAAGGTTCTTTAAGTGAATCTTTATGATGTGTTAGTGATATTTTCTAACATAACATATTTTGTAATGTACTTTTTTAGAGCTTTAGAAAAAATGGGTACATCTTACTTTCTCTCTCTCTCAAGGTGCCTCTCCATTTAATGGAGGTTGGCCGTCAGTACATCTTAAGGTATTACTATAAATGGGAATGTTTAATAAATGGATGTTTGTTTGCATGCATACATGTAGAAAATAGCCTGGAAGAACACATAGGCTACTACTTGAGTTTCTTAATTCCGCGCGGACGGAGTCGCAGGCGACAGTTAGTTAATGAATAAGCACAAACACCTACAATTAAAATTGCTGAGAAATGTTTTTTTCAATATTCTTCTTAAAAAAATAATAAACAGCAAAACAAGCAATTTCAATAAAAGAAAGACATGGATCCAGTTTTCCTCGGCTTTTGTTTCATTGTGGATTAGAAAAATAATATTTTAATTATTCTCGCTGTCTTTTAATTAAAAATCTGTGATCAAACCAAAGTAATTTGAATGTTCAAACAGAAACTTGTCGTTTTGTCATCATTAAAATTTTGTTTCAAATATTACTTTGAAATTAAGCTTTGTTTTATTTTAGAAATTTGTAACAATATATTTTTGAATATCCAATAAGTAACAATTAATTAAAAAAACTTTGTACGCGTTATTATGGAAATTGTACAAATAGATAAATATGAGACTCAGTTAATTTCACAATTCGGCCAATGGCGACCAGTAATTCGTATAACAGTTTAGATATTTAGTTACAACATTTTGAGGTTAGAAAAAAAGAACGCAGAGAAACTGACACTTCGAGAGTACGTAGGTTACAATAATAAAGCTATATTTCGTTCATTAGACTTTATGAACTTTTGTTAATGAAAGAACATGTCTTACAATTAGTGTCAACGAGGCGACTCTAATTAATTTGAATGGTTGTTAATGGCGCGCCGCGGCTGTCGGTACTCCAATCTTTAATGAGATGACATTCCGTTTGTATGTATTATCATTTGTGTATGAACATTTAATCAATATAACGTTATTATATGCCGTTTATCAAATAGGTTTGTTACATGTCCCTAGAAATATTTTAAAAAATATATATTATTAAAGTTTTGAAAGAATCTATCGCATGATATTTTCATACCATTTAATGTTTGAGGTGATCTTGAAACTTTAACAACCGAATCCAATTTCACAGGTTGACAGTTTCCCCCACTTTACTGCCAGTATACATGAAGATCTATAAAATTTTGTTTCACAACGACGACATTACGCCGTTGTTTATGTTAATTGAGATGGTTCGATGAATACTTTAAAAGTTGCAGCTTAAATAATGATTACTTTAGGGAACGCAATGTAAATATTTATAAAGAAGTTTCTGTGTTAAAATGTATATTAGCTAATTTTACCTATTTGTTTTTATTTTTAAGCTTTGCTACTAGTATAATCTTTCAATCCATCCAAGCATTCGCTATGCTAGTAATACTGAGGGGTGGATGGATGTTTGTTTAAAGTTATGTTATGTATGGTTCTCGCTGAAACTTGGCATATATGTAGAATATAGGCTACTCAATAAGTTTCTTTTAATTCTGCTCGAACGCAGTCGGGGGTGACAGCTAGTCTTTTATAAATTTCGTATTTAACACCCGTAGTTCATTAGTCCACGAAGTCAGGGGTGGTGAATTACGACTCCAGGTCAAATGACAATGACAAACCACTCTGATTTATAGAGCCCGAAGTCCTTGGCATTTGACTTGGCGTAAGATCCATGTACCAACTAGATTGACAAGCTAGAATTTATGTTAGAGTTAATAAATATTGACCTTTAAATAAAAGCAAAATCATATACAGCGTTCCAATCTAGACCTGTAACCACAGATAAGTTACAGTTACATTGTAGTAAAATAACTAAAATATCCAAAATATTTATGGTAAAGCATCTATTTAGCCGACTTCAAAGGTTTTGCTTGCAGGTGTGACCCATTTTTAAATTTTGCTTAACTTTATAATATTTTCTATCCTTACTTTATAACATCACAATATAACTGATAAAATAAATAATGGCTGCCATATACAGAATTTGAAGTATCACCGTTTTAATTTAAAACCAGCTACAGACGTTTAGTTTTAACAGTTGTAACTTTGGATGTACGTGTGCAGACAAAGCTTCGGTAAGCCGTTTAACAATAAATTCAGATATATATATAATATCAGTCTTTGTAAAAAAACAATTAGGCTTGGAATAAAAACGTTATTCGGCAATTAAGCGGGCACGTGACGTAGCCATTCTCATTAGAGTATCTGTCTGAGTTTGCGTTTGCTCGGCACACAATCCTCACAGCTTCACACCACAATCGAGTGTTTGCTGAAGTAACAAACTGGCTTAATAAGGCGTTATATTTATCCACAAACGAACTTTTAGTTATTGAACTGTAATTTAAATCAATTACCTTTGAAGTAAATGTTATTAGTGTCATTCACAATTTGACTAGCTATATTAAAAACAATCAGAAATGCGATCTGTACATTTTTTTTACAATAACATACATTTTATAACAACATTGATATGTTTTAGAGAAATTGTTAGCGTGATATTCTACTGTCTAAACATTTACATTAAGGAATTTTCTTGTCCCTTTTTAACTAAAAACAACGAGAGAGACGACATTATTTTTATAACACAAGTATTACAATAGTGGAATCACATCTTTTCGGGTATAGCGTACTAATGTACTACATATGTAATGTTACCTCTAATTTAGCATACATAGCGTCGGTTTCCACGCAATTTGCATACGGAGAATACGGTGTTCCGTGCACACTGTGTAATGTAGCATATTGTTTGATTGTTATCCTCCGCCCGCTTCCACCACATTAGGCTAGTCGCACACTAGGGCAGGAGACAATAGTGTAGTACTGCTATAGCTTCAACGCAACGCAACATATGCTGTCAAAACCTTAGTTTTGGCCCTTAAGCCAAGCACGATAATTTGGGTGAAAGTATTCATAAGGTCATTGACAAATTTAGTACGAGATTTCTTATTGTATTAACGCTGCAAAAACCTAATACGATTACTTTTTGTTTTCTTTTGCAAATTTTCTTCTTCTACTCTTTCAACGTGTGTGAGTTCACCAAATATATGTACTGCATTGTTCTACTACTCTGCATCACTGTTCTTACGTGTGCAACTAGCATTACGGTGTTGCTCTTGAGTTTACAAATGAATAGCGCCAAGTGATGCAAGCCTAATATTACAGTAAAATTCGACCGCCGTAACATTACTATTAAAACATATTGTTGCGCTGGAATACTACTGGAATAACGTAAACACTCACTGGCGTCAGTGAGCCAAAACAGTCCGTGTTAGGCTAGCGTATTACTACATAAAGAAAAATAAATTGCGGTTGGCTGCGGCCAGCTACTAAGTCATAGCGTCGTCTCCGTGTTCGCGCCGTGCTGCTCTCTGGATGTCGCGTGTTTAGGGCGCGTACATATACGTTTTTTTTTGTCAAAATGGACATGGATTTGAAGTGTAATATCCAATGTTAACAAAAGAAGACTG